ATATAAGGATATAGAAAAGAGTTAATAATGCACGATAATACTATAAATCTTCGAACAAAGAAATACATACAGGAAATTCTTCCGCAAGCCATCAAATTAGAGGCAACTTTCTCTTTTTCTCAATTACAAAAATATCATTACGTATAATAAATATTAATATAGAAAAGAGAAATGTGAAAATTAACAACGATATTATACAAAACCTGATGGCTTGATTTTATGTATGTAACAAATAAAAAAAAAAAAATAGAAATAAAACAAAATGTGAATACAATTTTCCCCTATTTTCTAACTCCACCTTTTGCATCGCTCCCTATATCCCTAAAATATTTCATTTTCAATCATTAGATTAAAAAAAAAAAAAAATTTCAAATTTATAGAAAAATCTTAATTTTAAAAATTGCAACATTTTCTCGATTCTCTCCGTCTAATGCTCGTTATTTTCAGAATTGGTGAGCAACAGGGGAGGAGAAGGCGGATGATTTTCTGGATGTTTGCGGCGATGCGACATCATGCTGCCCCTCTGAGTAAAACTTTGCCCGCACAAATCGCACGCGTACGGTTTCTCACCGGTGTGGATCAATCTGTGCATTCTAAGGGAAGCAGATCTGGCGAACGTCTTCAAGCATACTTTGCACTGATAGGGCCGTTCGCCGGTGTGCTTCCGTAGATGCAGCTTCAACAAGTAATTCGTGGTGAAACTCTTGTCACACTGGGTACACGCGTAAGTCTGGGAATGGAGAGCGACGTGATTGCGAAGATTGTACTCGGACGTGAAGATTTTCCCGCACACGTCGCACTTGTGCTGCTTAACCTCCGTTTGATTGAGCAACACGTGCTGATAGAAATCGCTTCTGGATTCGAATCTTTTCTGGCAAAGCGTTCGCAACATGTCCGATCCCACGTTCGAAGCTTTGTGCTTCATCAGCAAGTGATTCTCCAACGTGTTCCAAGCTTTGAATTTTCTAGGGCAGACGGTGCAACAATACGGATAGACGATCTCTTTATTCTCCTGATGCTTCGTCTCGTGGTGGGCGATATTCTTCACGGCCATCCCGCAGAATCTGCAGATGTAGGTAGCGTTCATGTGTGACCTGTCTATGTGAAGGGCCAGGTCCAATTTTAATTTGAACTTCTTGCCGCAACAGTCGCAGATGAATTTCGGGTCTATGTCGGCGTGCTCGCGGATCCTGTGATGCTTCAACCCTGTCACGGTTTTGTATTGCATCTGGCAGACGGAGCATCGATGAAATGACATCACCTCGTGCGTTTTTCGATGTTCCTCGAGGGCCAGATCCGAGAAGTAACCTTTGTGACACTTGTCGCAGTTGTACGGCTTCTTATGCGTTTTCAGGGCGTGCTTCTGCATTTGATTCTCGTCCTTGAAACACTTTTCGCAGAACGGACAAACGTTCCTCAAGGTATCCAATATCTCGTCCACTTCCCCTTTCGTCACGTCGGTTTTCGATTTCAATTTTGATTCTTTCGTTACTTCCAATAATATCTCTTTCCCCTCTTCTTGCTCGTCGCCCTCCTCGCTTTTCTTTCGTTTCCTCTCGCCGCCTCCCTTGCAACTCAACCGCCTGTCCTTAGCCTGATTCGCCACGAATCTGCTCTCACCCTTCTTCTGGGGTAAACTCAATTCCGGCTTGATAGGCACCATTACCTTTTTCAGCTCGTAAGACACCAATCCGTCGTCTCCCTCGAACGGTATAAGCACACTCTTGATCACGTTCAATCCGGTCTCGTCCCTGACTTCAACAGGGACCAACATATTCCTTACTTCCTTGGTCACTAGATCCCTGACCGGCACCAAAACAGTTTTCACCGAGTCGAGAATCGGTTCGTCGAACATTTTCCTCTCTAAATAATTACTCGTGACGTTATTTTCATTTCTCGCCGAGTTATCCGAATCGTTGCGTTCCAATTTGATTTTCAACGTCATTGAATCCTGTACAGTGGTTACTCGATCGTTTCTATCCTGGTCCAAGGATGTTTCCGCGATCGTAGACCTCCTGAAACATCCATTCGTTTAGTCAGAACGTAAATACGTGATCGAAAGTGACGCTAAGTTTGCACGAAACAAAGACAGAGAGAAAGAGAGAGAGAAAGAAAAAGAAAGAGAGAGAGAGAGAAACAGAAAGAAAGAAAGGAGAGGAAGAAAATCAAGAAGATATCGGTGATGATAGATCTGCTTCCTTTTGAGCGTCTCGTTTATTCAGAGAGCAATTCCTGTTCCGATGATCTTTTATAAATATGCTGTATATGTGTTGAAAAAAAAAAAAAAAAAAAAAA